CCCCCCCCCCCCCCGTCAAATTTCAATCTCCAGGGGAACTATCAATCGGGATTTTCATAATCGCTCATAAGCTATTTTCTCCTTCGATGGAATAAATAAATAACTCCACCACTGTGATGGGTGATATTTCCTAGAAATTATTTTTTTTTATCCCAGAAAATTTCATTTCTGGCGAAAATCCAAAAACACGTTTTCTGCATTTTTCCATGTTCTTTCAAACGCAAATGATTTTATAAAATTCTGACCCATAGTTTTTTTTTTGAAAATTTTTATAGGGGTAGTTTACACCTTAGATTTCAACCCCTGAATGAACTATCAATTGTGATTTTCATAATCTCTCACCAGCTATATATTACCTTGATGAAATGGATAAAAAACTTCACCACTGTGATGGGTGATATTTCCGAGAAATCATTTTTTTCACCCCAGAAAACTTCAGTTCCGGGGAAAATCCAAAAACAGGAATTCTGCATTTTTCCATGTTCTTCCAAATGCAATTGGTTTTATTAAATTATGAGTCATATATATTTATTTTTGGAAAACAAAATTTTGATGGGGTAGTTTACCCCCCCAATTTCAACCCCCGGAGGAACTATCAATTGTGATTTTTATAATTTCTCACAAGCTATTCATTACCATGATAAACATTTATAAAAACACCCTCCTTATAGGTGGGATTGAAAGATCACCCCCGAAGGTGGTCACCTTCTGACCATGATTTCCCCCTTAAAGCCGCGTATTAGCCGATAAAAAAATACGTGTCCTTTAGTTTTGAGTCCTCTGCAACATATATGAGTTTGATCAAAATCGGAGGGGAACACCTCCCTAGTGTTCCTTGTGACTCATTTCCAAGGCAAATTAGAGAATAAAACAAAATCACATTTACAAAGCTAAATTTGAGTGAAGTAGGCTTACTTTTGGTCTTCAGGAAAGTACAAAAGTGCTAGTAGAGACGGGTCCGTAAAAGCGGCCTCGGCAGTAATAAATGCTTTTTTGCTCAGCAGAAATCCCTCAGTCAATTGTCCTCGTTCCAATTTTTCTGCTGATCGCTGTACGAGTTCAAGTACACTTTTTATCCTATTAGCAACGGTATCTGTAATGACAATATTACTAATTTCTTCTAGCAACTGTGCCAAAGATTGCAGAGTAAGTTTTGCAGACGTGAGCTGTTCAATGGCACGAACACGCAGAAGAGCATCCAACTCCCATTGCCTCGGTTTGGAGTCAACGAGAGGGATCACTTGAGCCCCTAGAATGATGTCATCCTGTAAGAAAATATCACATTATCAATTGAATGATTGAGACAATTTTTTTTTCCGTAAAAGTAGACTTACTGGATCTGGGATGCCTAATAGACGCCTCAGTTGCGTCAAAAATGCTCCCATAATTGTTGCAGGACTGACGTTGAATTTAACAAGCTCATTTTCGTTCAATGCTGCACAAATTTCTGATTCTGGATTCGAAATTACAACAGCACCCCATCGCGGAGATAGAAATCCTTCCAAATTATGCAGCGATCTCATTCTGTGGCCTTCTCTTGTGTAAATGCGAAGTGGCGCAGTTTCACACGGGACCATGTATATGACTAGATTGATACAGGGATGAAGACTCACCTGAGAAGCTAATTTCAAGATTTTTGTAAATGATAATTCAATTGAATTAATTAAATCAACAATATATAGAAGTAACAACGTTAATTTATTAAAATGGTTGTATTTTTTTACTCTGACTGGTTTTATTCGAGAAGAAAAAAACACGTGAGCGTATCCGTCAATACTGTATATAAAGAATTGCCTTTGAATTGTAAAACCTTTTCTGTATTCTCCATCGGAATGTCGAATCCAAAACAAAAAAAATTAGCGCACCCGGAGCTCTCTAACTCAATCATTGGCGGAGATATCAAAGATTGTTTTTTTTCTTTCTCAAAACTTTCTCTTTCAATTCTAATTATGTACGGAGTAATTGACATCATAATCGAATAAAATTTAAGGTGACTCTTCCCTGGGGTTGTAAGGCCCAGATATACTTTGTGGTAGGCCAATAATATCTCCTGTACTGCTGCTGACAACAAGTGATTCGAAAGCAACTGAATTATGAGTCTAAGGAACGGGATTTCAATAATTAACCACAATTCATTTAAACTCTCTGTAAAATGTATAAAATAAAATATCGATGAAAAAGTTCACAAAATTAGATAATAAAGAGTTCACACGATATATGACAAATAACTATTACACTCCACAAAAACTTGATAATACTAAAACAGATATTTAGTTTGAAGGCGAGATCAGAACTTAGTATTGTATCTCGATATTTTCTAATCTTCATATACAGTGTTGAGAGTGAGGGTAAAGAGTGTTGTTCCCTTGTAGATAGGGGATATCAAATTTTCCTATTGGTGGAAATATTTGAAGGCGTGAAAAGTTCGGCGAAAAGCGAGGTTCGGCAACATCAGCCAAAGTACGTTGAGTCCTTCATTGAGGCCCAGAGAGACAAAAAAAGGGCGAGGGTCAGAGGTCTCAGGGCAATTTTATGACTTTCATCTGGCTAGAAAAAGTACCTAGATAGTAGATTTTCGGGAAAAATAATTTTTGAACGAATGAGTTGACAAGGGTTTTCAAAAGACAAATTTTCGGATTCTATGACTTCTACATACGTAATCTGAACTTGAAGGGATTAAAATTGCTTCTTCCTGTTACTTGACAAAAAAGACATTGCTTTGGGGAAAAGTGAAGAATTTTGGGAAAATGAAAATATTCCAACGGTCGTCTTGCATATTATTTCACATGTGCGATCGAACGAAGGACGAGCCACTATTGATAAAAGAAATATTCAAACATATAGATTTTGTGAGGAATTTTCTCCACTCTGAAGAAAACGTCGGTTTTTGTATAGCCACGTATTTTTGTATATACATCTCAAAAAGATAATTTCAACCTTCCGTTTGAGGTCGTTCTCCACTTTTTCTCAGTTTGTCCTTCTTTTGTCGGGAAATTGGGGAACTTTCCAAATTTTTCTGTCTTCAGTTTTAGTGTTGTAACAAGCTCAGGGGTGCAATGCTGAGACGAAGAAAATTTCATCCTCCCAGAAAATCAGTTTTTCTTTCAAGTATCTCAGCATTCAAGAGAGATAGCATCTTGTTTCACTCATCTACCGTCGAGTTGAGTTTTCTAATTCATTATAATATTCAGTAGATCGAATTTTTCAAGGTAATGCTAAGAATATAAGAATAATAAGGACGGTCTATTTCCCTGGATTCCAGTAGATAAATAATACGGGTTCTGGACCATTGACTCGAAAACGCGCTGGGAAATGGCGCTGTCGGTGGTGGGGTGGGGGAGGGGGAATAGTGGGATGCAAACTCGAAAACGCGCTGGGAGCTGGCGCTGTCAGGGGGGGGGGATGCTGAG